AAATGAACTGCTAAAGATGGCACCGTGCTAAAGGGTTATCCGGCATCTTGCAATTCTATTGCAACTTTCATCCTCTAGGGAAGCTGACGTAGCTAGTGGAAAAACCAGACAGAAATCATCGAAGGTGACAGTGGATGCCATTTTGCTTTTGGCCTTCGACCTCAAAACGGACAAACATTGCATCATCAACGCGGCATTCTCATTCACAGCATCCGTTGGGTATAATGAGTGTTCAGTAAAACCTGTGCAGAACTTTGTGTAGGAATGGACTCTGTTTTCTGTGAGGAGAATACAAGGGTGTTGAATTATGGCAGTTGAACTAAGACAATGATTGGAATCAACCAACTAAAAGCTGTTTAAGCGTTTCCTTCATTTCCTAAAACAGGTGAAGAAATAGCGAACTTCCTTGAGACCAACGTACTCTAGAACCTGGGCGGATTTTAACCGGTTCACCTTGAGATTGTTAATAGAATTGGCTCCCGTTAACCAATCACCAGATTTTCGGACTGACTATAAGCTACCTGCAAGTTGTCCGCATTCGTCTCCACAGAATCTTATAGGAAATCTGAAGAAGCTTCCCCAAACTCTGTAAGCGGCCACTGTATTGTGGCCTGTTGGGCCTTCTTGGAGCGTTTGCAGCAGCATCTGCCATTTAACTGCTCAGCGACTTCGTTCCACGCACCGTTTGCCAACATCTGAGGGCGATACACCGGAAACATCCTCTGATAAGCCTGTAACGAGTTACAAGTACAAACGAGCATTTACTAACTGCTGCTTTCGCAGCTTCCAGGAATCCCAATTCTGGTATACACGGGTGACCATGGAGTGAGCGACGAAGTCGTACCCAGCTGCAAGGGTGCAGTCACATCTCGAAATTTCTTGTGAGCTTAAGAAGTTTTTTGATTTGAGTTGCGCTGTACGCATGAGACGCCAGTAATGTTTTTTTGTAATCGTTTGCCAAGAACAAATCATGACATGGATAGGCTTCAAACATAAGCTGGTTTCCAGATTTCATCGAATAGGTCATCAGTCTTATTTTCTCACTTCCCTCGTTAGCTGCACAATGCATGCGCAAGTTAAGCTGCCCAGAGACATTTCCAAGCAGTGCACATAAATTTGGAGTCGCTCACCTTTTTGCTGCAGTTCACACCTTTCGTAAGCAGTGATCGCACTATTTCCACATCCCCGTCAGACCGAGATGCTAACGCATATGCGTATACTGATTGATGCTTCAGTTCATATGGACGGTACTTTCCAGTTACTTGCAGCTATAGTTGGCTCGCAAACAAGTCTAAGCAGCCGAAACGAATTTGGTATGAGGTGTATATTACATCACCTCAGCAAGGTGAGTTTAACAAGCCATTATGTGAGCAACCGGTATTCAAGAAACACCTAGACGTTCAGCACACTCCTTACAATTATCCAAGAATCAACACCTTAATTACTACGCTGTTCTCAGAAACCTACAGTATTTGACTAACTTTCCGATTCCAGAACGCCTCCAACACCACCGCAAGCTTGTGAGTCATGACTCTATTAAGTCAGGTTTCTCACTGCCCCGCTAAAGATAAAACACGGCCAATCAGAACCTGTTAACACGATTTCTTCTGCACATTGATCGGCTGATATCTCCTAAATAAGAACTTCCGATAATCCCCAAATGGTTTGCATGTGAATCGATATGAACTATCCAATTAGAGGTATCCCTCCTGTTTCCTGCGACTTGTCCCTCGGAAGTAGTAGGGGATATGGTAAGAGGGGCAGCCTCTGAACATGGCCCGCTATTGGTTATAAACTCAGAATGCGGATGCTATGGTTAGGAAAAAGGTAATGAGTGTTTTCTTTAAGCTGAGGATAAAACAAGGCACAATTGGAAGGCCTCCAGAGAAGAATCGCATCATTGTTTTCATGCGACTCTGAGAAATGAACGCATCACTAACAGGGGGAAGTCAGGAGCTGGTTCTGGAAAAACGTGTCAAGAAGCTCAAAGCAAACCTCAGGAACCCACATCTGCTTACAGTAGGGGAAAGTTTGATAGCCAGGGAGTACGCGCGGTGAAGAAATTTGGACTGGGGGTTGTTGAAAGGCTTAGTTCTACTGTATACAATCGAAATCTTGTCACCCAACCAAACCCATTATCTGCCTATAAGTCTATCGATATTGCCCGGTGTAAAAATGTTATATAGTTTACGGGCAACGTTCTCTATGACTTCCAAAGAATCGCAGAGTCCAACACGGAAAACTCCTTAGGATGTAGTGACATTCGCCCATCTGTGTTGGAACGATGTGCAAACACTCTGTGTAGTCTGCTGTGCAAATTTTTTCAACATTGCCTAAGGAACACAAAGGTTTATCGATACGGAGACGTGCCGTTCTTTTCTATTTTCAAAAGAGGGGGCAGTTTGAACCCAAAGTTCCACCAACGTGACGCATCTCTATCAACGTCATCAGAAGTAACGTAAAACCTGATAGACGGACGCACCGTGGAATGTTTAAGCTACACGGGGCACTCACTGGCGCCGTTCATGGCCTGGCCTTCTAGCGGCCTGTCATAAAAGGATATCTTGACAAGATATCCAGGGTTCTGAATCCCCCTGAAGGATATGATACAGTCGCACAGGCTATCCACGGCAGGCCATTAGAATTCTAAGGAGCGCCGCACCAAAGTAAACAGGGTATGCCCAGCTTTCAGAGGACCATCGTCCGGTTTGCAACGGGAAGCAATTACTCACTCTCTTCTGTTCTTGAGTTTTGTGAATAACCTTATGTGGGGTCTTAGCTATATGATTCCGCCATGGATTACAAACCTTAAGTTACAGAGGATTGCGATATCCTAGGGGCACTGAAATAAACCATGTGGTGACCTGAGACTGCTCGGCAAGTGAGGTGAAGATAGAGGACTCGCATGTAGTCTGGTTAAGTGCCGAATCTCTTTTCACCAAACGACCGAGTGGCAGAAATCATTTATAGCCTCCATTGTGCTTGCTTTTCTCACACAACCGCAGCAGAAAACCTGGGGTTAGTTCTGGCCGAAAAAATGGACATAAGTTCACATTTTCAAAGAGACACCGCACGGCTTGTTTACTACCACACTTAGTTGGTTGAAAACCAGCTTCTTCCGCTTCGGAACTCGTCAAGCTGCATGGGACCCAAATATGGTCTCACATGGAGTCGCACGGTATCATTCCACCCGCTTCTGAAGAAAGATGCCGACTCCCTGCAGAAAGTCCATAGGTGAGCCGCCTAAAATGCTATGCATACGCGGCAAAATTCGTGCAAAGATGTCCTGAAGGACCTCGTTTTTCACCCCCTAGGCTTCCACAGATTTGACGTTGGCTCAACAATAGCCTGCGAGGCAGTGGGAAACCTGACTTAATAGAGTCATGGAAAACTCATAGAAGGTTACCGTAGTGATCCACATGGGATCAACAGGGAACTTATCATCTAGGGGTGAAAACCCACATGCATTCACACTTCCCTTTCCACGCCAATGGTCGCCTACTGAGGTAGCCACCGCCCCATATGTTAGCAGCTCGGAGGAACGTTTGAATAGCTATGCGGTAATACAGGGTTTGCGTTCATCCAGTTGGGATGCAGACTAGGTCGAAACAACCAACTGACCTCACATCAGGCCAACACAATGGCTTCCATCTTGGCTGTCCCCGACTGCCAATATTATCACGAATCAGCCTTCGTTTTAAGCTACCTATCAGATGTCTTGCCCCTTCAGTAATCACGCTACCTCTCCCCACCATCTCTACTGTAATCTTCTCTGCCTCCGATTCTATGATTTCGCCCAGTTCACCGACGGTCTGGATATCACTGTTTCCCTTTCCGTCTTTCTGGAATTCATCTTGGTTGCTCTTTTCGCCTCATTTTACCTTTCTTCACCCTGTTTATCTCATTCCCGTTCGTTTTCGATGACCATTATTTCACTCTCCTTATCTTTTTTTGCAGGTCGAAACAACTACCTGGAGGCAGGAAGTCTGCAGAACCAATCTGAACCACAACTTTGGGAAGAATCATAAATTTAAACAGCGTAATGAGAAGAAGGAGATTTCTGAAACATGTGATGCATTGGCGCTATACGTTCCGAATAATGTGATTGCACATACCTGTAGAACTAGTTAGGCGAAAATTTATGAAGAGGGGCAAAGAAACCAATGGAAAACACAGGAATAAGAAGAGCAGAAGAAAATCATGTTACTCTTGGTATGAAACTTAAAACCAACAATACAAATGTAGTTATTCATCGTAGACTGACATCAGTTGAGTTGTGGAGATTTAAAAGAATAACAACTTGAAATATATACAAATCTCCACAACTCCCTCAAAATGCAAATGTAGGTTATACGCGAGTACGAATTGTTTTCATGTACATAAAAGGGGTTGGTACTGACAGACAATCTTCTCATTACTCTGTTTAAATTTGTCAGCTGAACCAACTGCTAAAAACCACAAACCTTGCTACAACACGGAACCATCCACTGGGTCTAGCAGGGCTGCATTGGGCAACTAGGCGGAAATAATGTATCGGAATCTGAGAAAATCCTGGAGCAGTTTCCAAAGGACTAGAAGTCAACAAAAAGAAGTCCGTTGTTTTATGTAGGCTTGTAACCTAGATATTGAATACTGAGGTCACTGGGACTCCTGATGACCGCCGATCACACCACATAAGCACCATGTGGGCTTCCTCTATCCACTAAACAGTAAACTTTGAAAGTTCTTTTTGCCTTGCACCATAAAATTATTTTAGACTTTTACATGAAAAAAAGATGCAAGAAGATCGTCGTTTTCCTCATCAGAACCATCGTTTCCTGACGTATTTAATCTACAAACTACGCGTAGAAACAATCATATCTACACGGGCTACAGTCAAGAGAGTAGTAAGAACTTCAGTGCTCACCGAAGGGGCAGTGTCATCAAAAGTAAGCGGCGCTTCAAGACTTCGACAGAAGAGTTAGAATAGTCAGCTTTCTATACTCTCTTGAAAGCATTGGATGCTGAACCAATTGGAGTTCCTGGAGCGGGGAAGCAATTGGTCGCGTTATCGTTTTTTAAAGGTGGTGGGTTATGTAATGAACTGGTACTTGTTTTGATTCTGAGATGTATAAGGACTCCTTGACCTATAAAATACGTAAAAATAGTGGATTCCGATATTGGTGACGAGTTTTAGAATAATAAAATATTTAGTCAGTAGTTATAGAGGAATGTTGAATTCAATATTAAATTGCTTACTTGATACAGCATACATTGATAACGTATCACTTACTGTTTAACGTTCCGGGCAGACTTCATTGTCAGTGTTCCTATTAAATCTATCCTACTAATTCCAGGCTCTTTTATGTAGTCCAACATACTATAGTATGTTTATTTCATACGTATCCGAGTGTGAAATGAATTTCTCCATCAACTACTCTGTATTTCTGTCAATAATCCCCTAGTATATGTTTGTGTAATGCAGACAGCTACCCAGGTCTGTCTTACAGTCTGTTAATAGATACATTGCGATGGGATCCGAGGGAGGAGTCGTACTGGTGGTTGAACGGGGTGTGAAAACCATAAGGTGTTTCCCTTGGATGATCAGCGGTATCATGTTGGTGCATCCTTCTGTATGGGAATGGGAGGGTTAGGCTGGTGGTGGTGTGGGTTTAACCCGTCCGACGTTAGAACATCCATACCAGTAATCCTCAAAAGGCTGTGACAGGCCTCAAACAGATGTTTCATGGGCTCTGGAGTCACACAAATTTTCCTTCCCACAGATGTCTTTAAGAGAAGTAGGCTCTCATGGTGTGGGCAGTCGGTATGTGTCAACTGCCTACACGCTTCTAGTTGTTCACAAGACCCATTCAAACCTATCCTGCACAATTATTTCCCTCTCTTTGCCTTCTCCTGATACTAAAAGTAAGTCCTAGTCATTTTCTCACTCTGCAACTATTGCCAACGATCATAGCTATCAAACCCTTACTCGTAGTCTCCTAAGACACCCCCATTGATCTCATGTATGAGCTTTCAACGTCTGGACTGTATGCTAAGTCGGACAGCAAACATCGCTCGTTAAAACTCTGGCATCTCTGGCCATAGATGTATGTTGTTTGTCTAAGGTCTGCACACGGGACCCGAATTCGGTTACTGAAGTGACATAGTCTGCTCATAGTAGTTAATCTTCGGAATTCATCTTACGAGTACCCGAAGACCCGATGGATAGCTGTTGTAAACTCGCTGGTGTCGGCGTAGCATTGAGTAATAGAGCAGAAATTATGCTTCTTAAGAGGATACCAGTCAACAGCCATCTATGCTCTGAACAGATCAATAAAACCTAGGGAGGACCGTGCAACTAGGTGATGGTTATTCGTAATCTCCGCCTACGTACCCACCGATTGCAGTTCAGATGATGCAAAGGATGAATTCTATGAGAGACTGTCGATTTCGCTACAGAAAGCAAAACGTTCAAATGTAATTATAACTGCAGGTGATTTTGGCCCTCAAGTAGGGGAGCTGATCAAATCAGAGCGTCATCTGGGAGGCATTTACAGAGTCCCATGCCAACGAACCGACAACAGTGATCGTGCGTCGCAGTTTTGTGCCGACAACCACTTGTTGCTGACCAGTACCAACTTTAGGCATGGGTAGAGACACTGTTGCATATGACGTCCGCCAACTTCAAACCAACGATAAATATAGATGAATGATATTGCCATAAGCCATCGTTGGAGGATTACCGTTCTCTCTGGAGTACCAGTTTGGAGTCCGATCATGTGCTAGTATGAGCTCATGTATGTCTGTACCCTACTTGTCTCAGAAAACAGGCGGCACCGAAGCCTATCTATGATCGCATGGACGATGAGTACGTCAAGTTTGAATTCGGGGAAGCGTTGATGATAGCAATGCTCGTCCTGAGGAAACCTGAAATGATATTAAGTCTGCCGTAGAAACAGCGGTCAAGACAATTGGTAACCTACACACGAATGTTATCAAACGTCACTGGATTTCTGAGGTGTCATTCAAAGTAATTGGTGCGAGAAGACTGATTCCAGTGCGTCCTGACCACAATAAAGAGCAAAAGCAATTCAGATACAACTTAACTAAGAGTCTTCGCATCGACCGCGAGCAGTGGTGGATGGTGAAGGCGGGAGACATGGAGAAGGCATCAGCATTTAGTAACACTCGACTGCAATTTAGGCTTATTAAGGATATTTGCAAGAAGATGACGGTGGGTAAAACCATAAGGGAAGTGGATGAGACCCCGATAACAACCCGGGACATTCACGTACAACGTTGTTCAGAATACTTTGTAGCGCAGTTCAACTGGCCCTCAGTAACGCTTCGGTTGCTTGTCATCCACCGTGAACCTGAATGGGGCATAGATGCAGGTCCTACGACTCTCCTTGAAGTTGAGAAAGCTATATCAAAGCTGAAGCAATGGAAAGCAGCAGGACCTGACAGTTAGCCACCTGAGGTTTTCGAGGATGGAGGCAGGAAGTTGATGATTAAAGTGATGGAGTTACTAGGTAGTGTATGCGAATCAGAGGTAGTGCTGTCAGACTGGTCTAGTTTACTGACCCACACAGTCTATAAGAAGAGAGAGAAGTCTTCTTGTGACGACCAAAGAGGAACTAGTTTAACAAATATTGTGTCCAAGATTCTAGGAACAATAGTTACCCGACGCCTAACTGGAAGTTGAGAAGAGCGAACTCGAGATCATCGAGAAAGCCAGGCAGGTTTCAAACACAGCTGCACGAGGTTGCATCGACCATATTTTTATCCTCTGACAGATTCTGGAACACAGGCATACCTACCAGCAGATATTTGCCATATTTCTTGACCGGAAGGCGGTATTTGACTGCGTTGGCCGTGGTGTTGTGGCAGTGTCTGACTGTTAGGGGGGGGGGGAACAGAACAAGCATATGACCGTAATCAAATCTCTCTACCCGGACTCACGCAACCGCGCCAGGGCTTATGTGTTGTCTTCAGAATTGACGACAACTAGGGGTGTTCGCTAGGAATGCCCACTATCACCATTCCTTTTCAACTAATCGACATAGCCTTAGGTACGTCTGACTTCATAAGGGTTGACCTACTCCCTGGATATCATCTGGTTGACTTGGAGTATGCAAGCTATATTGTCCTGCTACGTGAAGACGCTGAAGTAATAAAGGATTTTCTAAACTCGTTGAACAGAAATCTGAGTATGTTTGGGATACGTTTCGCTGGCACCTGTTAATTGTAAGATGATGTTCCAGTGCTGGTCTGCTGCAAGTACTCCCATTTAATAACGGAGCGAAGTGGTGTAATTTGTAGACCACTTCACGTAATTGGGAAGTTGCATCAGCTCTAACAGGTTGGTTGCTGACTAAATCACACCTCGGATACGAAAGACCCGTTTGGTATTTGTCAACTTACGTCATCCCTGGCGCCGACTGGCGAGAAATTCAACTATCTCTCGAAGAACGGATATACTGCGCTGCAGCCCATTCTGTCTTGTTGTACGACTGTAAGACATGTTCGTTGAAGATAAAAGACGAAAAAGTCTGTGGGTTTTGATCACACATGCCTTCCTAGTATTGCTAGCGTGTGCTGGAATCACCACATGAGCGAAAAATACTAGGCGGCAAGACAGGCAAGTCTGTTGACAACGTTGTAAGGCTTCATCGGCTGAGATGGCTTGAGGATGTACTGTGCATACCGGGCCCACCTTGACGTGCCATGCTAGGAGAAATTGGATTAGGTTGGAAAAGATTTCAGGACTACCAGACCAAGACATGATAATGAAGTATATTGCTGTTGGACTGGCCCGTGTGAAGAGATGTAGCCTGCTTGGTTGGGGTCCCTGAGACAATAGGAATCAGTGGTTGAGGACTCTTGGTGACATGGCTGAAAATCGGTCACAATAGCGCAGTTGTATTCTCTCCTTGACATCTTTTAAAGCTTAAATTCTGCACTAACCTTCTGCTTCAGATTGTTTAATCTCGCACACAACTTTGTCTGCTTTGAAAGTCTTTTTGATCCAGCTGTTCTTTGTACACTACGACGAAGTGTAGCAACTTATACCGGTGCACTTGTGTGCGAGTTTCTGCGATGCTTTTGTCAGTCAGTCAATCATTGACTCTAAGGAAGTGGTGAGCAAGCGTCAGTGGATCTAGGCAGCTTGCTCTGAAGTAATGGGTGCGCAGAAACACATTCCTACAGGCTCTGAGCACCATGAGAACCAGGAGCGACTGAAATGTAGACTGACAAAAGTCTACGCAAAAACCGGGAGGAGTAGTGGGCAGCAGAGGCTAAGGAGATGGAAAGAGCAGCACCAATAGGTAACACTAGTCAGTTATTTGGACTTGTTAACAAAACTCAGACAAGGAGGTCACTAGTAAATGAGACCCTAGCGGGAAAGATTTGGTCTAGGATTCACTCGCAGGGGAGATAGCTACAATGATGGGCGAAACATTTCGAGAAGCAGTTCAATGGGATTACTGGTCAGGTGTTAGCTAGCATATGGGAATCAGACGTAATGCCCCATCAACCACTGGATGTTCCAGTCTTCAGGAGAAATCCTTTTGTGATGACTACAGCGAAACTAACCGGACTGTTGATTGTATAATTATGAGAGTCGTCAGGGATGCCCACTTTCGCACTCTTATTTGGTCATAGACGTTCTTATGGAAGTTTCACCGTCCTTCGACTACAGAGATTGACCTTGTCACAGAGGACTCCTCAGTTGACCTAGAGTATGCAGATGAAGTAGTCGTGTTTGGTGGGAATGCAGTCATTTGGACATCTTGATTGCCGATTTGAGAATATATGAGACGCGTTTCTCTAGGACTGGTCTTCAGTGGTTCCATGTGCAACAAAAATGAAGTGAAGTGGTTGAGTGCAATAAACACTGGGAAGTCGGTTCACCCTTGGTGGGTCAGTGGCCGACGAATTATCTCCACTGATACAAAAATTTCTGTTGACTTTCTCCAACTTCCCTTACTTATAGTGCCTCTACGATGTCCGACTGTCTATAAAGGGTTGAGTGAACTTCAGCGCAGTTCACTGTGTTCTACCATGCGGCTGTGAAACATGGGCAGTAAAAGTATAGGATATAAGAAAGCCTCAGGTGTTTGACCACCGTTATTTTCGTAGCGTAGGCCGCATGTCGTGGTGTCATCATCATTATCAACATAGGACCAGGCATTACTGCCTTACGGTCCGAGTTGCTACACCTCATATCAGCACATCAAGTAAAAAGGTAGTGAGGTGCAGGATGAGGATAAGTGAATGCAGTCAGAGGAAATATAAAGTACGAGAAGAAAAGGAAGAGGAGTGACAAAATGGTGAGATTCGGTATAGCATCGTTAAGATGAGGATAATGTGTGTATACATCTGCGCCACTGACTTTGGTTCTGAGCCATATCACCTAGGATCTCTAACCACTGGTTCCTCTTGTCCCGCGGACCCCAACCACCTAGTCTGCATCGTCCTACATGGCTTAAACCAACAGTCAGAGACTTCATACATTGGTGCCATGTTTTAGTCTGGCCACCTCGGGCCTTTTTCCAGCCTGGACCCACCTCAGTCGTGGTGTCACCATGATAGTAACGCAGAAGTCAGATGTTGGATTTTAAAAAGGAGAGGAAAGTCACGTAATGAGGTTCACTTTCATCGACTATGGTGGCTGTGACATATGTTACACATCCCTAGTCACTACTCGAAACGATACAATGTTAACTAAAGTAAGTTCGGACTGGGAAAGGATTGAAGGAGGTCAAACTAAAACACAACGTCAATGTATGAAGACTCTGACTATTGGTCTGAGTTATGTAGGGAAATGTACATCTCCTGGTTGGGGTCGGTGTGATAACATAAGTCTGCGGTTGCAGGCTGTAGACAATGTGGCTCAGAATCAGTTTGAGTTGTATTGACTTATCTACCCTACTCTACCTTACTCTTCATTTGAACTCAGTATTTTCTTATTCCTCCTCCCTCTATCTTACTGCTTTATCCTGCTTTTGCTGGATTCATCTCTATTCCTCCATCTTTTATCTTATTGCTTTGTTACTTAATATGCTGATGTGGGACATGGTGACTTGAACCGGTAAGCAATATTGTCAAGTCCAACAGTGAAAGCAGTATACGAGCGTGTGTGTGAGCGGTGACAGGCTAAGTGAATGACACTTGATAAGTGCACCGAGATTTTGAAAATGGCATGGTTTTTTTTGTACATCCGCACTATTATGACTTGTTAGGTATTTCACTGTCTCCCACTGATTCATATAATCTCGAAAAACCAACCAGGATGGCTACACAGCTCGAACCCGCTGTTGAAGTCTTCATAGGTTTAGGCCGCATCTTAGTCTGGTCACCCTTATCTTTCTTCCAACGTAATCTTTCGCTATTATCACTCGTCGAGATGGACCGTGATTTGGTGTGCACAAGTTTACACTTTAACTTGATATTGCTTACACGATGATTCTGCCACATACTGGCAATATTATGGAAACACAAGCATCCGCATGTATCGTACTTTTCAATACTATCTATCACAGTCATATATTACGACACTGCTGTTTGATAGTGTACTCATCCTTTGATATTTAGTTGGATATTTCGTTGATACCACAGATGACGTAACTTTTCACGTGCCGAACTGATCTGACATTTTTTCGGTAACCGACCCGTTTGGACGAGACGCCTTAATTAAGTAAAGTGCTCAATGCATCCCATTACCTCACTTTTTTTTAAATTAGAAGTCCTTACAGATCAGTTCTGAAGTAACGTTTTACATTTTACAAGTGTGAAATGCATGTTTCCATGTTTGCTCAGGTCGCTCAGAATACCTAGCATCTCATCAGCGTCCTCGTCTAACAGGATCGTCTCGTCTGCTTAATCTAAGTCAACCAGGTACCCTCGTGAGAGGATGTGGGTCTCCGTAAAGTTGAGTGCACTTAGGATCACGTCCATGAGCGCATTAACAAAGCTAGATAAAAACGATGACAGTGGATGTTCTTGGCTGACACCTAGATGTCACTAATTCAGACAGGCCTTCAAATAGCAACATGAGTTCGGGTAGTGGGCTTTAATCGCTATAATATATTTTCTCACTGTCAGGAACTGCAACAACATCTGCCGATCGATGGAGTTGGATGTCTCCTTCACGTTATGAATTGTAGTGTATCGTATCCTAATAAGTATGCTTGTGTTCCGAAACCTCTTTAAGGGTGATCTTATCTGGACATCCTCTTTCACAACTAAAATATGCCTGGTTTTCTTCAGGTGGTTGTCCTTCCTGAGTTCCAGTTAGGTGTCAAATGACCATGAGCTGTAGAAGTTCAGATACGATTTGCAGTCAGACCGATTCCCCTTTGGTTATCACAGTGAGACCTTTCTCACGTTTTGTTAACCTAAATGACCAGTACTCTTAGCTGTTCTTATGAAACTAAGTCTGATTTCCACACAGTGGTTAGTATTAGGTATTAAAAGCAGTTCTCTTTCATTATTAATCATATATCGCTTTGGTTATTCAACGTACTAAAACATAATACCGACTATCTAAAACAATGGAAAATCTTATGTTGTACTGTATTGGTTCTTTTTTCCATGATTCATACATCCTTCGATATTTTTTGATGCTTTTTCATATCCTTGTAGTATTAGGATTATAATTTAAATGTGATGCTATAATATCCTATCATCTGCAGTATTTTCAACTGTTGGTCTTTGTTGACTTGTGCTACTTCTTTGAATTACTATAGTTGAAACCTACTGACATACAGTGCATAGAGTTTTTCCAAAAAATATTTTAAATGTCAACTGAAATTTGCACATATCTGTTAAATATAAACAGTGACCTCTTGGGTTAGGCTCTCAAACAATAGGTATTGGTTTCAAACCTCACCGCGTCCACTTGGGTTTGACTATCTGATTGGCATTATTAGACCTCTCAAAAGCCATGATTAGTTTTATAGAATACGAATATGTACATTATCGCTGAATTGTTTTGATGTTTTGCAAATCGGAAAGGTATCCTTCTAGTGAAGAAACGTTATTGTTATGATGCGGAGTTGTGAGAACGAACGGTAATACCTAGCGATTGATAGTCGAGGGTTGAAAGGGTTCAATTCGAACGATTCGCAAGGAGAAATCAAAAGACTGGAAATCAGCTGAGTTTATAGTATCTCGGACTAAAAACGTTTACTAGTGAAAACGAACATTACTTATAAAGTTTACCGTAACCTTGAAAGGAAGGAGCCAATCAGAGCACTAGTGAGTCATACGAAACTTGGCCTATGTGCTGGAGAAAAAGCGTTAAGTGAAACAGTAAGTATGGAATGTAAGGGATGTGAGCATCCCTAACTGTGACTTAAACTAATGACCTTGCTGAGCTATTTGATACACTATGAACTGTTTTGTTACTTTCGTATATAATTATAACGGGGAATATCTTTACTGCATATCAGTTCTGTTTTACTTCATAGGTTTTTAGTCTACATGTATCCAAACTTTTCTACAGCCTGAAATTGAGATTCTATTTCTATGATCGAAATCGCCTTTCAACCATGGTAAATGTCCATAAAGGAATTCTTGTTAAATGGTAATGTCAGCTTTAATAGTGAATGATAGTAATGATTTAGTGATCCAGCTATGAAACAGTTCCTTCTACACTTGGCAGAAAATTTAGTTTTGGGCAAAAATTTCGTTCATACTGACATGGACGATTATCATCTATTTATTGATGCCGATATTCTGAGCAAATTACAAGAAAAAGTAGATGACCTGATGGAAAGTTTATCTTTTCCAATGACTGTTGAAAACGATTAAGTTGAATCTTTATGCTTTCGTTTTGGTATTCACTATTTATCACCTTGTTTCCTGCTTGCTTTCTTAAGGCTATAAAGACTACTGTACAAATGAAAAGTATCTTAAGAACAAATGTTTGAGTATACTGTTCTACAGTGTAATATATAATTGACTCATTGTGTTAATTGTTGGAGATAACTACCCTGTAGAATGAATATTGGTAGAAATATATTTGTTATGCCGTAGTTTCACTTTCTGTTATTCTTGTTTCGAAATGATTTTTCGGTTTTTTGAATATCTGTTCTGCGCAACAATACCAATTATGATTCTGTGGTATGACACCGGGGGCTTTCTTTTCAGCAAATACAAATTGTGATGTATGTGGCTTTGGGGGACGTATAGTATTATACTATTGAGGACAAGACACTTGTGTGGGGAATGGTGGGTCACTTCATAGTTTTCCTTCAACATATATTCGCTGAAAAGACCGAATAAGTTACTGCTGTATGTCATCAGAGTAAAGATTATACTACTGATAATTTCAAAGAGTTAGTTCCATTTATAAACTTCGAAAAACAATAAGATGAAGATTATCTGAAAACTGTGATATATTTACACAATACATTTCGAACGATCTGATCACACATCTACTTGTCAAGTCAATTTATGTATAAAAATGAAAAAATATATAATGAATATGAAAAGGTTGTGACACTAGACTTGGCAATATAATCAGATAAGGATTACCAAGATAAATCAAGTGAAACAACTAATTGTTTTTGTACACAAAGTGGGGGGCATAAGTTTACGAATGGCTAACACTTCAGCAAATTTCAGTATGCACCCCTGACTGTTCTTAGATGATAACTGAAATACTGTTTAACCTTATTATTCATTTCGACTATATGTTTTGCTATGGATGAAGATGGATGTCTGTCACCTGCACTTATCAAAGTTTGTGTGTTAAATTGTTTTTCAAGCCATTTAGGTATATGTTCACCTACCCTAGTCTGCATAACACAATTACTCCTACTTATGTATCTGTGCCCACACGTACACGTGAATTGGTGAACACAATGGGGTGTTACGTAATCATTTATGCGAGGTTGATGTTTGTGGCGAAGTGAGTATTTCGTTGTCTCAACAATGATAAGTTGAGCTGCATAGTATGTTTTATTGATAACAGATTTTAACCAGTGTTTCAGCATAATGCTACTCGTCTTTTGTATCAATGATATTCGCATACAGTCATTTCCGGTAAATTCGAATAGATGTGTGATGAACCTGTCCTTATCCAAACCTTCGGTAGTTGCACACTATTATAGTGACGATTCAGCCATGAATGCCCATTTTGAAGATCTGTTTGGTCAGTTAAGTCCGCTAGTTCCTACCTCTTCTGACAACCATAGTTGATTGAAGGCTGAACTAGTTGATATCTCCCATCAGTTTCATAATCCAGGTCTGAAATAGAGAAGCATTTTGAATAAGCGACACTTTAAATCGCTGAAAAATTTACAGACTAATCCTGGTGTGATAATTCTTCAGCCCGATGAAGAATTAGGTGTTGTAATAATGAACAAAGTGGAGTACAAAACTAAAATGTCTATTCTTTGTGATGAAAGTAAGTTCATGGTGGATATTCCATCTGAAAATATTGGAAAATTAAAAGGAAGAGTAACATCAAGTCTATTTGAACTCATTGATATGAATGTTACTGTTCAAGCGGAGTTCACTTCGTTAAAACCCATGGAATGCAAGTTTCTAAATCTTTATCCAAAGAATCAATAAAGTGATTAATCCACTACGCCCATTATTATCAGTGTGTCAGTCTCCCACACACAAATTAGCGAAACAGTAAGCCGAAATATTGAGCCCGATTCGCAATGTATTATTAAAGTATTCATTGAAAGGTACTTTTGAATTTGTTGATTGTCTTACTAGTGTGAATATCAGAGACAAGAAAATATACTCTTTTAATGTTAACTCTGCATTTACACTAATGTAAATTTTTCAGCGATTTAAAGTGTCGCTTATTCAAAATGCTTCTCTATTTCAGACCTGGATTATGAAACTGATGGGAGATATCAACTAGTTCAGCCTTCAATCAACTATGGTTGTCAGAAGAGGTAGGAACTAGCGGACTTAACTGACCAAACAGATCTTCAAAATGGGCATTCATGGCTGAATCGTCACTATAATAGTGTGCAACTACCGAAGGTTTGGATAAGGACAGGTTCATCACACATCTATTCGAATTTACCGGAAATGACTGTATGCGAACATCATTGATACAAAAGACGAGTAGCATTATGCTGAAACACTGGTTAAAATCTGTTATCAATAAAACATACTATGCAGCTCAACTTATCATTGTTGAGACAACGAAATACTCACTTCGCCACAAACATCAACCTCGCATAAATGATTACGTAACACCCCATTGTGTTCACCAATTCACGTGTACGTGTGGGCACAGATACATAAGTAGGAGTAATTGTGTTATGCAGACTAGGGTAGGTGAACATATACCTAAATGGCTTGAAAAACAATTTAACACACAAACTTTGATAAGTGCAGGTGACAGACATCCATCTTCATCCATAGCAAAACATATAGTCGAAATGAATAATAAGGTTAAACAGTATTTCAGTTATCATCTAAGAACAGTCAGGGGTGCATACTGAAATTTGCTGAAGTGTTAGCCATTCGTAAACTTATGCCCCCCACTTTGTGTACAAAAACAATTAGTTGTTTCACTTGATTTATCTTGGTAATCCTTATCTGATTATATTGCCAAGTCTAGTGTCACAACCTTTTCATATTCATTATATATTTTTTCATTTTTATACATAAATTGACTTGACAAGTAGATGTGTGATCAGATCGTTCGAAATGTATTGTGTAAATATATCACAGTTTTCAGATAATTTTCGTTGTCTAAGGACGTTATCGAAATTTATTAAGTGGACTAATGCTTTGCAAAAAGAATAAGAAACAGTACTTTTTTGGATACTGTAGTGTATTTGAGCAACACATTTTGATTCATCTGATCACACACGTACTCGCCACAGATATTTATATGAAAGTTAATAAAGGGATAATGGTGACACAATACATGGAAAGAAGTCGCGTAAGAAAGCTGGGTTTAATGTCGAAATAAAAGTGAAATTTAATCGAGTGAATGTAATGGTATATCGAACTTGGTTTCAGAGTTGAATTCAACAAGAGTGGTTTAATATGATAAATTGTTTTTGAGTACACAAAGGAGGCTTAAACTTCCTTATAGTTAAGGCTTCAACAAATTTTAGGATCCATCCGAAACACCTTTTATAAATCGGTCTTAACTACTTTTCGAAACCACCCGGCCTGTATATTCCCCAACCCGTTGTAGCATGTGAATGGCAGTGTCATATTCTGTTACATCAACAAATTTAAGTGTGACACACGCATAGGGGGATTCATAGATTCATGTAAATAAAGGCCTCGCTGTATATTCCATTGTGGCTTCAGAAGCAAACTGAATCACTTGAATGCATAGACGTTGGTAACAGACGTTTAATTTTTCCCATTGCCAAACGTATCGTTGAGACAAGTCACTGGATTGACGTTGCTACTTTGTTTAGTTCAGTTTACAAAACGTGTTTCGGATAGGTCCCCAGATTTGTTAAGGCTTTAGCTATAAGTAAGATTAAGCCACCTTCATGTATTCAAAATCAGCTTGATATCGCATGAAACCTCTGTTGGTGAATTCAACTCTGAAATCAAGTTCGATGTACAATTACATTCACTCAATTGATCTTCACTGATATTGTGGCCTTTAACCTGGCCTTCTTATACTACTTCTTTTCATGTGTCACCCACTACCCCTTTATAAACATTCATATGAATATCTATGGCAAGTACGTGTATAATCAGATTGATGGAAATGTGTTGTACTAGTACATTACACCATTCAGAAAACTAATAACGATGAACCGCCTGTAACATTTGTGACGATTGGAATTATGGTAACAAGCTTTTCAGCATTCTTAGTAGATCATGACTAAAGAAAGAATATAAAATCTGTGCAACACTAATAGAATTAGGAACTGAGCAAGCGAAATCTAGACATACTTATATTCAAGATATTACAGTGATGAGTAGATAAGACTTAAAAGTCATCCATGACTAGGGTACACATGAAGGTTTTACGCACTTCTTTCACATAACAAGACTGGTGTCTTTTGAGCAAACTATTCGCGGAGAACCAGAAAATCTACTAAATACGTGGCACTTAGAAATGTCTGTTTCTATCTTTGTATTGGTAATAAGTATTAAAAAAAATAATAGGCTTACAAGAGCCTTATGTACAGATACAATGATCATCTAGTAGTAGTGACCTTTAGAGGACAAGTTGAAAAGCCTGACGAAGGGAAAATGCACTTTGGTATTTTCGAAATCCCTGCTCTGCTAATGAGTAATATTAATTGTGATGCAGTTTCATGTGGGTGATCACAAGTTTCTTACAGGCAGAACTGAAGAAGTTACTTGACTTGATTGTCCTCCAGTATTTTATGCAGGTAAGTCATGATTTTATCAGTTGCCGTCGGAACTGTCGATCAACTGTCAATCTTTCTACAGCACTTGTTTGGATTGCAGTAAGGGTTCAATTCTAACCCTAACATCACATTGGTTAGCCTTGAGGCTAGACACTTAAAGAGTTATAGGTTTGGTTCGAATTTAGAGTACCAAGTATTTCCAAAGGGTACTGACCGACAAGATGCAGAAAGTAAACAGCCATTATTATTTTGATTTACCGTGATATATTATAGTCTACCATAACAATAGAAATACTGACATTTAACGTTAACCGATTAAAATCCAGTAGATCCCACAATCATTATCCGAAAAAAATCAGTGTACGGAAGTTCATTTTGTCTTAGCTTCTAGCACGAATTTCGGAAGGATTTGAAGAACTGACTGACATGCTCTGAAATAACGGTTATCTATCATAAAAGGCAAAAGTGAGTAAGGTTGACTTATTGGGAAGATTGGTATAAGATAGCAGGTGAGAGTGGTAACCCAGTGATAATTTCACAGAGCGGGTGATCAAAATTATAGTCTGTGAAAGACATAAGGAACAAGTTAGTCAAAACGGATAGAAAGTTGTAAAAGAAGGAATGAAATTCGAAATAACGATTGAGATGAAGATTGTGTGCAGATGAACCTACGTAACTCAACTCGATTCTGAGCCACATTGTCTACAGCCTGCAACCGCAGACTTATGTTATCACACCGACCCCAACCAGGAGATGTACATTTCCCTACATAACTCAGACCAATAGTCAGAGTCTTCATACATTGACGTTGTGTTTTAGTTTGACCTCCTTCAATCCTTTCCCAGTCCGAACTTACTTTAGTTAACATTGTATCGTTTCGAGTAGTGACTAGGGATGTGTAACATATGTCACAGCCACCATAGTCGATGAAAGTAAACCTCATTACGTGACTTTCCTCTCCTTTTTAAAATTCAACATCTGACTTCTGCGTTACTATCATGGTGACACCACGACATGCGGCCTACGCTACGAAAATAACGGTGGTCAAACACCTGAGGCTTTCTTATATCCTATACTTTTACTGTCCATGTTTCACAGCCACATGGTAGAACACTGAATTACAGTACGGTACACTCAGCTCTTTATAAGCAGTCGGATATCCTGTTGTCACCGTCGGGGGCTTAAGTTGGTAAAGGCCAATCGAGCTTTTTGTATCCGTGTAGGGATTTAGTCAGCCCAATGGGGTCAACGTGCTAAACCACTTCACTCCCTATTGCTAGATTAGGCACTATGACCAATCCTCTAGCAGAAAGTTGCATTTAGGTGGTGTGACTTGCCTCTAAGATATCCTCATATTGTGATTTGAGATTTTCAGAAGACTGCGTCTTTACCTAACACGACTATGTCACCTGCGTACTGTAGGTCAACTGTGATGAGTTTTCTGTTACAAGATCAATCCCTGTAGTCAGAGGAGGACAGTAAAACTCCCATCAGAACGTCTGTAGCTCAATAAGAGTGTAAATCCTTGACGTATATAAGTCACCTGAGACATCGCAGTAAACTTTGACGCGCTGATGTGTTCAGATAAGTCACTTTCAACCATTAAATATGCTTATCTGACTCCTGTTTTAGTAAGACACTGCCATAAGACATCTTGATCGACAAAGTCGAATGCTGCCTTCAGGTTAAGAAGTGTATGTAGTGTTGGAGGCCAGTTTCTTGTTGTTCCAAAATCGTACTCTAGGTGCATATGTCGTTGACACATGCACAACTAGGTTTGAAACCCACATGGTGTTTTCGACCTAACTTTTCTTGAGCCGCACTTAGACATCTAATGATTATCTCACCTGGGATCTTGGACACTATATTTGTTCGACTGATTCCCTAGTAGTTGTCACCGGAGGATTTCTTTTCCGAAGACTGGTTCAGTGAAAGATTGCAACAAGAGAGGGGGGATTATATTTGACTCATATATGCTAGCTAACACTTCGGTTGACGTAAACATTCCTCCTCGATCGCAGTCTTTAAATACCCATGGTGTGAACCCATCTGTCTTTTCTGGTCTCAGGTTATTTGTAGGCGGGATGCGTTGTTCCATTTGAAATGATTATGTCAACGATGTTGAAAACCGGCATTTTGTGGGGATTTATTCATTAGGAACTAGTCTTTACCACAGTTTGAAACCTGACAGTCGGGCTGGATCACTCGTATAGCCGCTAGTAAAGAGCCCTAATTTGGGACGAAACAGCTGTCTAGTGCTCTAATATTTTCGATGGTTTTTCAGCTGACATCAATCTATAGTGTAAACTACTTTCAAATATTGAGAAAAGTTTTAAGCTTAACGGCGCAGTGGTTGCTGTTGATGATCAGGTATTTTACATATCCATTTTACAGATCGAACAGCAGTGATGGTTGATCTTGCATCAGAAATCAAGTTATGTCTCAGTGGTGAACGAACTTCACAAATAAACAATCTGGACAATACGTATGTTTTTTTTACCGAAATTAAATTTTTCATAGGGACGACAACCAAGACAGCACAATTCGTAATCTTGAAGAAAAACTCAAACTTTTGGAAGAAGAAAAATTGGATCTTGGTATGTTGATAATTTCTTGTGTGTACATCTCTTCAAAATAACTTCTGTAGAAAATCAAATATTTTCAGCTGAAAAAAAGTATCATGAACAACTGGATTCGTACTTAGCACGTTATATTAATGCAGATTTTAGTTTGGCCCAGATGGAATTCATATTGGTGAGTTATTATTTGACGTGTTTTTCCCCATTGGTTTTATTCACTTCATTTATGGATTCAAAAAGACATTTGACTAGCTTAAAGATGATTTTTACTATGAACTGATTTCATCGTAAATAACTATAGAAATCACATAACGTTAGTTTGGGAACCTTCATTCTAGTGTTTAATCACATACTGTGTTACGTTGATGAATGGATGTTGTTTTTATTACATCAGTGCATTGTAATATGTTTACCTGAGCATTTAAAAAAAAGTTTTATCAGACAAATACATGTCAAATATAAATGTAGGGCTATCTTTCAGCGGTTTAGGTACTTCATCTTCAATCATGTGGTAGTATGTGTTTATAATTAACCCTCATTATGTAGGTGTATGTGGTGACTAGCGGAAAAAATGACGTCCGCTTACCATAGTATGGACTAAATGTACATCATATTTTCTTCAAGATAAGAAAACAGATTGACTAATTGGAAGGTGACCATTAATCATCATCAAAACTTGTGATTCTTTTGTCGATGACTTAATGAATGGAATTCATGGATTTCCGCTGTTAACATGTACTTGTTTTGTATATGTTGTTATGAATGATATTTTACACTTCTTTGTGATCACCGGTCAAATTCAGAATACACATCATATCCCTTTTAGTACTCACCAGTCGATTCATACTTTCATTTCACTAAAGAACATTTTATAGTCCGTTATGCGGATGATTTATGTTATCCTTAGCCCATTAGTGTGAGCATGGAAGTTCTAGATGGTGGGTCATGTGATCGTGCATCAATCCGCCTACTGAGGCTTCTGGTAGTTAGATATTATGGATAGATCCTTCCGAAAGTAGGTGTGACCCAGCTTCATATATAAACTTGTGTTGTGGTTGATTTTCTGTCAAAATACCTACCTTATCAGTTTAATTTAGTCAAACAAAACTGGTTAACAATAAGTTCTACATGCGAATCTGTATCCATCACACATGGAATGCTTGTTTTCAACCTTTAGTAACTTAATAAATAGCGTCTATCTATAGTCAATGAAAAACACCTATATACTCGTTGTGATACAGAAAAACATATATGTGACTGCTGAGTTGAAGATGGAATTCATCTTATCAAAGACTTAAAATTTATATCATTGTTACGGTTATTTCCTCAAGTTTATTTCCTCTTTCTTTTTGAATGAAGCCTACAAAAAGAGCCAAGTTAAGTAGAGTATATTCATCATCAACAACTGATGACAATTCAACATTCAATTCTACTGATGCTCATGGAAATTCTCTAATTGCACTGAAACACTTCTTTGAACCCTCAATGAACCTTGTTTATAAAAAGTTACATGAAACAACAAAGGAAGCACAGAATAGATATAGACAAAGTAATGATGATATGTTAGCATGGAGATTTTCACCAGAAAGGTAGATTCACTTTATTACTTTTATTTATATTGTCAGTGTACAGTTAAGTGTTTATTGGTTATATTTTTCCCTTAATTTATTGTCGATAAAAGTAACCAATTATATTCGTGATTTCTAAGTACCAACCAAAGGCAAACCGACAACTATAGTGCTGGAAAGTATGGAAATACATAATCCACATCATTACATGTCTTTCAAGTGTGTCTAATTTGCAGACTACAGTAATTACATCATTACTATTCATTGTTTGAAGTAGTGGAAAAGTGGGTATTCTCTATCCACTTTCTGAAAAGATTTACTTTACTGCAGCGTGGATATGAGCTAGATGATCTTTTTTCAAACGAAAACCGAAATTGCTGCTTACCGAAATTCCATCCTCAGAAAGTGAGGGGAAACGACGTCAACAGCACATAAACAAGTGTGTTGCTGCATTTTTCAGCTTTTGTGCGTACACATACATTGGCGCAGACAATTGGGATATGCAGCTTCATTAACAGACTGCTTCCAACAGCCTGTTTAGGAACAAACATTTGTATTCCTCTGCTCTGAAACTTAATATAATAGAAAGTCCTTACTTAGTCGACCTGGAAACACCTTTCATACACTTTTATGAAAATGGTCAAGACTAAAGATCTATATATACTGAGGCCCTAACACTACATGAAATTTTGAACTCATCCTGTAAATTAAGCGATAGTTTACGCTACTCTCAACAGCAGCTTTAACTTTAATATCAAGGATAATGTAGGAAATATTTTGTTCGTTTCTGATTACACATGACATTCTTATATTTGCTATTAACTTATTTGACACTACTGCCCTTCAAGAGTGAAAACACCCCATATGAACATTCAGATAACAAACTGAAGGAAGAAATATTCATTTTCCAGTAGCTCCTGGTCGCTGACGTCACACTAATATATAGGTTCTAACTTCGCAAATCAGTTTTTTAGCCAAAATTTTCGAAAAAGCATCATGCATTTGAGATAAACCTCTTCCTCATTGTGTCATTCAGATTATATCAAGGGGACCGATAGATAATATCATTTCTCATGTCCGATACAGCACTATGGACTGTAATCCCTAGATATGCTGTGATTTCAGAGTGGACATAAGCACACGAGGCTCTCTTTCTTTGTGTAGGTATCTGGATCAGAACCACCATACTTTGCGAGCATGGTTCATAAACGTTTTCATTTCCATATGCAGTCATTTGTCTTCGAACATTAGGATAAATCGCATTGATTTATGCATTTTTCTTTCGTAAACAGAAGTGTTTAGGTTTCTGAAGATAAAAAGATGGGAATGAAACCAGATGGAACCGGTTTCGCGAATGATTTTCTGCTTTATTTCTTCAATCAACACATGGTCGATACTTATTTATTGCTCAAACTAAGAAATGAATTTTTTCGAATTGTGATAAATAATTATCTGCGTGACTACATTCCAGTCCCAACAGTCTTTTCTTTCGGTGTCTGTATATGGTTGAATAATGTGGTTTGCTTTGTTGATTTAATCGCTTTATGTAAGAATACGTTATTGACATGGCTGAATGAAAATGACTCTGTAGAATAAACCGGCTCCTATTGAGAAAAGTGTTAGTCAGATGGGTTATACTGCACAGAAATTTTAATCCATATATATGATAAAAATTAGTCGGTCTTCATTCGCCCTAAAACAGTGAATTCAGCTACTGCTTACCAAGCAATGGCTCAGCTGTAAATTGTTGACAACACAGTTCGACCTCACAGCAGTGTGCTACTAAGATTGCAGCAGTTACAAAAGTATTTATAGTCGGTGGTGTCGTAATTTGATTGTCACTATGAAGCATAAACTAGGTGCTTCAATGTACGCTGATGTATAGTGTTATCTACCTTCATACAATTAGTAATGTTTATAAACATGGACTGTATTTACTTTTGTCAGATTTCTCGTACACTATGAATTCAGCAATTTGTTAAGTGTCACAATCATTGCAAAGTTGATTTAATAGTTTGTAAACTTTCACCATTGTTCTAAGCTATAGAGATTATGCAATCACTACCATTTTTATTTTAACTTGTGAACGTGAAATCTTCGTACACACTAACCACAGATTGTGTAACTTCCATATTTTAAATATAGTTCAATTGGAAAGTCATTAATGTCACGCATTCGACACTTATTAAGTGCCAATGAAGAGTTAGGTCGAGTTAACCAAGCTGATCGTGTGGCTATGTTAGAATCTGAAGCTGAACTACAAGCCACATGCATGAAAGAATTTATAAAAACTAATGAAGGTATGAATTTTGGTGATAGCTAATGTTTACAAGTACATTTTATCTAAAACACACTTTTTACCTATTTGTTGTTTGAGACTATTTGAATCATCGAAACTCAGGAGCATTGTGTGGTTGTCGATGTATTGACCGTAGGTGTATCTGATTCCATTCAGCATAAAACCCTGAACAGTCAAGTTTCGTAGAGGATACGTTTTCTTTGAACTGCTGCTTAGTTGATTCTCCATATTCTGCCACTCTACTACCTTCAGTTCGAATTGTTCACACTGCTTTTAAAACGTTTGTGTCAGTTCTTTGGCTTTAATGAATCACTGAGGTTTTTTATCTCTAAATATACTTCAGTAGGGAATTTCATATTGAGTTATGAACTTTTCCAAAGACTTGTGCTACTTCAGTCTGGGCAACAGAGTGATTATTATAAGGCCCTCATGCAGTAAATTTGGCACCGGGTTGAGTTGCCTTATTATTACTATTAATACTGAGTATAGGCACTTGTACTCTCATATTGAAGGTTTAGCTATCGCACCATCTATCTCTTTCCGAGCACCTGAGTAGATTCATTCACCATAAGAGACAGGTATTGAGTCGTAATTCTGTTTAAATACGAAGTTGCTTTTATTCTCTACATATTTTCACCTCTGGATCACAAGACGTAACTCTTACATAATTAAGTAGGATAGTTTCAAGCATGTTATTCAGTCGAGATGTCTGGTCGCAAAACTATTAAGCAGAAAGAATAAAGTAGAACCTTGTGCAAAATGACATGGGTGCACTTCATTACAACAGGTGGCAGAAAGTATATTTAGTTACAACACTGTAAGCCATGTTTGCTTTTGAAGAATAATTATACTGTTACAAGAGTCAGGTCTGAGAAAGAAATTACATAATAATCTATGTTGCGCTTAATGAACCTTCTTGTGTCTAGGTCAGATGCACAACCTCCCAGCTTCATGTACTACCTAAGCTGCATACCCTAAACAGATTACCTGGTCAGTTATGGCGAAGTAGGTTGGAATCAGCTACTTGGTAGTGTGAAAATTCCAGTGCGTAGAGCATATAACTTTGTAGCAAGATGCGAATATGTCGACTGATATTGTCCAATCACTAGCGTGAAACTGTCGGTTATCGGTTAAGGTTTCCGACTGCTAACCACTGAGTAACAGTTGTTGACTTCCATGCATCTACTCTGGTTACGGTAGCTGAGTAATATCGCAGATTGTTATACAAACCTACTGCAATATTTTGTTACGCTTATTAATGACCAACCAGTGGTACATGTTTTCAGTTGTTTACAGCTAAGAGAGTGATACTAATGGTTATTCGATTAAGATTGTTTGACATAAATTTGGATTTCTAGTCATAATAATACTTTGGGAAGCCGCTAGGAAATTTTACTTACCGTATATACTGTATGCTGATTACCGTTCATTTCTCAAAACCCTACAAGTGTTATCATTAATTATAGGAGTGGTTTCCGATGGAAAAAGTTATTCCGAATACTTAATTTATGATGAAGTCGCACAAGTCATTTTTTGTAACCTATGATTCATTTATCATTAGGATCATCAAGTTACTAGATTCATTCACATCAATTCGCATGCTATGTAGAATATTTTATGCTTTCTCCTGTCTAATTTTCATACTATTCCAGATATTGGAGGTGTACTAGAAGAAGCGTATGCTGATTTAGAAGGTCTTCAAAGCAGTTTGTTAATTTTACACCAACAAATAAATCAAACGGAATCACTTGTTGAAGCCCTACAGGTAACAGATTGATATTACCAACCTTGTTATATTTAATAATTGAGGACGGCATTTTGTAAGAAGCAGTAAATACAGGTTTCATCCTGCACATAGCTATTCGTTTCGGAGCATGATTCATAACTTGGGAAAAGTGCGTTTCAGGTGAACAGCTTGCGAGTAGTTTATTTTTTATTTGGATGTCATATATATTATTTTTGAGGATATGTAGTCAACAAAGTTTGAATTCCGGGGAATAATTTGTTCAGTTTGCTTTAGTTTGAAAAATTCTCCCTGACAGACAATAGCTGGTTAAGGGACTTCGATAAAGTTCACTCACTGTCTTAACAACCGGATATACTAACTACAGAGTTTTAGTATGATCACATAGAATCCCTTGCCTTGACATAGACTGTAGTGCACCGATCTGCACCTAACCATTCTGTCATCAATTTTTAAAAATTTGTTTTTCCTATACTCATGAATAGGGAATTCGATGTACTATTTTAATTTAGAATGAATTAGAATCACGTCAACCTGGTATTGTTGCTGAACTTATGACTGCAATGCTGTCAAAGCTTAGTGAGACGGGAACAAATGTAACGGAAGTGGAGTGTGGTGATGATGATGACAGCTGTAAATCAGTACCTATTACTCATGATAAATCTGAACAGGAAAATCCACATAGCAATTTCGATGAGGTCGTTCCAGAAGAGATTTGTACACATGAAAAGTTAACTTAAACTTAATTGCATGTATAATTATTTCCCAGTGAATATCATTATAAACCTATCTTATACTTATATATTATGTGCACTTTTTTCATCATTATGGTGTAAAGAAAATTTCAAACATGTTAATGTACTACAGAACCATCTAACCACTGTTGATTGAACTGTGATTAATTAATTAATTTGAAGGTCTGTAGTGACAATATTATTCAGCTAGCTTCATAGAAGATTGTAGTTGAAATCCGTGATTGAGCATGGGTTATTAAGAGAAATACCAATGTACCTTGTAGTCAAAAAGCTAATATAATGTGGGAGCTGCATTTCTTTATTAAGGTTCTTTCATAAATAACCTTCACACTAACAAGTCACAATTAAATATATAATTGAAATCATGAAAATAAGATGAAATAGAAGACAAGCGCATGAATACAAAACAGAAGTGATGGAATGTTTATGGTATGAAGAATCGGATAATATAGGAATGGATGATAGTTGATATCATCAAACGAGCTCTACTTCTCATAATTTCATGATTTTCTATATGGGAAAAACTGAAATGATTGAAAGTGATTAATAAATAGGAGAAGCAACTAGCAAATATCCTCTTCTTCTTGTTCGCTGTCTGATTGGTTATTATCTTTCTTTATGTTCTCCTCTGGAGTAAAGTTACCTCCAGTCTGACCATGCGAGATGTAATTCTCTGGATGCATCGGTTGGTTGATACCTACATTTGCTTTCTGTGTTTGCTCAACATTGTCAGGATAGGTGAATTTAATTTCCTTTGCTAAACGAGCATACTGCATTTTGCAAAAGAAGCAACAAAGTTTACATAGAATTAGTGGTAAAATGAGATCACGAGAAACATATTGTGGCCTTATTTAACCTAACAAATTCAAACCACTGAAGATTCTGAGTCATTCTCTGAACAGCAATGCACCTAATATGACACAAGCATGTCTTAAAACTCCATTTTCAAAGTCACTGACGGGCACAGATGAATATATATTTAATACGCAAGAATGAGTAGCAAAAAAGAAACGAAAACAACAGAAAAGTGAATGTATATGCCGGGTTAGATTTCCAGCAACATTCTGCTCCACCTACTTCGGCTTAGACAACTAAGTAGTACCATAAGTCTTCACTTATAAAGTAATACATATATCCTAGTACAAAAATCTGTACTGAATATCTCAGTCTTAGTTTCATTTATAAACGAACATTGAATAGATGGCCAAAAAAGAAAACCACCATCTGTAGTTAAGAATTACCGCACACACCTGTTAAAAACATTGAATTATGGTTAAAATTGAACTGATGACCAAACCAATGGTTAGTCAGATGAACTGTGGTTACTGACTGGTAATTAACTTTTAGTCACCAAGTGCTGTAGAAAAGAAATAAGAATAAATACAACTCAATGGCCATGTGCATACTCATGCAGTAAGCAATGAACCACACCTATTGTATGAGGGCTGATGATACTAACTGACTGCCTTGACCTAAGTAGATGGGGCGGAGTTCGAACCCATGATCCATTTGGTTGAGTGTAGAGAGCCTAGACTAATAAGCCACAACCCCAAAGTCCCTTGTTAAAGTTTCAGTGCTAATCTAAGCACTGTGAAACTTTTGCTTTGAATTTGTGAGAGCTGAGATTATTGGTTGAAGATATCGACCACTAAAAAAAAGACAATTCAGTAGAGGCAATCTTTCTTTCGATGAATCGTTTTCGGAAACTGTACATCTGTATTTGTAGTTACAACAAGTGTTGCCCACCAGTATGCCTCTATTCCACCACCTGATGAAGATGACCAATGTGCCCTCGCCTAGGCCTGGGATGTGACCTCGGCCTCCAGTTATGCATCGGATAACTATTGGCCTTAAGATTCTGGACGCAACGTCGGCGGACGCCAACTGAGATAGTAGCTCTCCTTACGCTTGAACTTAGTTCTGGCCAGGAACGAGCGGTTGCCAGGACAAAATTTCATGAGATTATCACTGTCGTCGGTTCGCTGATAAAAAATCATATAGATACCTCCAGGATGTCATCCCGACTGGCTCAGTTTCCCTACTTGAGCGTTTAAGTCACATGTTTAAATGGTTTTATTTGACCATTTTGCTTTATGTAGTAAAAAAAGTTGACAGCGTTGGATAAAATTCATTTTATGTATCACCCAGACTGCAGTTTATAGGCGCATAGGCAAATATGCTGTGCCTATACCAGTGAGTCCACGAGAGCTAGCTATTGAATCTCCAGACACTCGTAAAGTGAATTTTGAAGACTCACCACATTGACCAATTTATGTGAAGTGGATAACTACACTCAGGTACTGTATACGTATTTCAGGAACATCGCATGCATAACATAGTTCAACATTCTAGAATTCTTGCTAGCGATGCTTGCTGTCTGATTTGGCATTGGGTTCAGACGTTGAAAGTTCCAATGTGAAATCGACTGGGAATGGAGTTCCGCTGGCTTGGGCCGTTCGCAGTGATCATGGTGAAAAGTTAAGGAAGGTGTGAGAGACCTAATATTGGTATCAACAAGTGAAAGCAAAGACGGAGACAGAGGTAAGGAGGATAGGTTATGTTTGAATGGGTTTTGTATACTACTGAAAGCCTGTGGGCGGACGACACCTCCCAGCTGCCCACGTTGTGCAAGTTGTTTCCAAAGCGAACGTGAAAGAGAAAAATGGAAATATTTGTGTGACCGAAAATTCTGTGGAGGTCTGTCACAGACAGCCTTCTGAGGGTTGTTGGCATGAGATTTGATTGTTCTAACGCCGAGCAGATAAAACCCATACGGCCGGCCCCAGAAGACCGTGGGCACGGAGCATACCGTTTTAGAAGCCAACCTTTTCTAACCCCTCTCTTCTCACCAGGAAGGCAGCATCAGGGTGGCACTGTTGCTCATCTGAGGGGAACAGCTAACTGCTGTCACACTCCCGTCTAGCCAGCAGTACGACCCCACCCTCAGACCTTCATCATGGTGTAGCAGCTTACACTACAACGTCTTTCGTCCTGCTATTCAACAGATGTTTGAAGAGTAGGAGGCAAAAAGCATGATAGGTGAGTGAGTGCGGCGTCGGTATATGAGACAACAAATGCGATGAGATGGAGACCATCAGATGTGAAAATGTTATAGCGACAAAATAGAATGAGACTGAATAAAATGAGATAAAATAAGGAAGAGCTGGTTGTGTGACACATTTGATCAATATAATAAGCTGGATTCAAGGTAGTGAAACGGACGGTACAAACTGTTTCTGCACGCAGTTCTGGTTCAAGATTATGTACCGCTAAGGCTCCTGCTATACAAAGCAGGGGCGTATGTATACGTGTACCTTTCGACAGACGTGGATTAATCTGTTAAACGGTGATTCGGAGACTGCATGGTTGTTACCTACTACATGTTAGAGGATTGATCAATTGACGGTCCTATGATTTCGTTTGTTCAGCCATACTGGGAGGCGCTCTTGAAAGTGATGAGATATGTTTCTCCAAGAATATTCTATGAAGTATGTATAGACCTCTGATGAAGACTAATCAACAGAAAATCTGCTTGAAATAGGCAAGTAACGAATTCCCATAGCTTTGTTCCTATACAAAGGAAAAATAATTCAGTTTGTATCCTCTCATTTCGTGTGCAGAAAATATGCATAGATGGTGTAGAGAAGGGACTTAAACTATCACAAAACTTTATGAAACAGGTATCCAACACGTTTAGAACAGTGATTATGAAACATTTTGGACATGACCATCATGCCAAGAAACATCTGCATCAATCTAAAATTCGGGTGATATAGAAGACGAATTTCTTAAGAACCGTCAGACAAGGTCAATAAGAACAACATCCGGTCACCTCTCTACGCAAAAACCTATTCCAGCCGTCGTTCCATCCATCCTGGTGTTTAGGAAATGTTATGCCATGTTACAATGGCAAATATATTGATACGGTTTGAATCACATATGAACGAACCAAAATCCCCGTCACCACTTCTCTGTAATGACAGATAAATTGTTATGAAATGATACCACATGTTTTAACTGAATAACTGCGAAATATGTAGCCCTGAACTAGTCACATGATTTTGACGTTTTGCACGCTTTACGATATGAATATCGCTGCACTTCTTACTTTTTACCAAGCCTATAATTCACCAACCCTTTAGCAATCAAAGATTAGAGGCTCAATATCCTTATGTATTCCGTGCGATATGAGACGTACATACGTATGACTGAATTACTTGTCTACAATGCACCATAATTCATAAAAATGAATCACCTGATTTTATACACAGAAATTGAAACGATATACAGCAGTCATTTTAACTAAACAATTATTTCGCAACTACAAGTCACATGACCATGGGTGAGGATTTAATAAAAAGATCTTAAGCTGAGATATACCATAATACTATAAAACGTCTTTTAAAATAAACTATATAACACGGTCAATAATGCTTAACTGAGATTCCTACTTTCATTTCTTCGGCCCGTTATAACACCGTTATTATTCAATTCAACATGCATTTACACATTCATCTGCTCTTCTGGAGCTAGACACGCAGGATATTCATTCGCAAACATTTCCCATTACCTTCAAGAGTGCCTCCCAGTATAGCTGAACAAACGCAATCATAGGACCGTCAATTAATCAATCCTCTAACATGCAGTAGGTAACAACCATGCAGTCTCCGAATCACCGTTTAACAGATTAATCCACGTCTGTCGAAAGGTACACGTATAAACACGCGCCTACTTTGTATAGCAGAAGCCTTAGTGACACATGCTCTTTGTTTGGGGAAAGAAAGTTTATGTATATGCCTAGGTGGATTGCCGTTAGCGTATGCTGTACATAAGCTTACCTATTTTGGCATATGATTTTCTAAAAAAGGTGAAAAATCAGACACTGGATGACAGTTGATGCCACGTAAAATGAAGACGATATAGACGGTAGATTAAATGAAGTGGTATTTCTAGATTTTTTACTGTGACTACACGAAACAGTAATTTGTTTTTCGTAAACACACTGTACTAGAACTGTTTTCTTCCACAACTGAATGAAATATAGGTGCAGTCAACAAACTCGTAAAACTTACATCCAAGTCTAGGATTCTAAAGCTTTGATCCTTTATAGCTGATTGACAAGCTTGTTTATCCATATCTTCAACAGCAGCAAGCAGTCGTCGCACTGCTGAGAATTCTTCGGCTTCTGAAAATCTCCATCGTCTTAGGATAAAGAAAACAAATAGGTTACTCAATTTCCAAAATATTTGCTTAGTGCGTAGAATGTAAATACTTAACATCAATTAAAAGCCTGATTTCTATGTCCATCATTAAAGTGATAAGAGGAAGTGGGAGTGTTGTTCAGTTTTATATTATATGTTACGGCTTACACCTGGTTCACTTGAGTAACGAGCAACCGTTTTTCGCCCAACTACAACCAGTGTAGCTCACAATTAGTATACGAACTTTGGCATGGTTATTTGGTGGTAATTTACCCATTTTCCAATAGTGATCACACCTTTTGTGATGTGTATTAGAACTAAAGAATGATAAAACAAGTTTTCGCTCATTACCTATTAATTCCAAATACAACTGTACCTGTACCTTTGTGAGAAGCTGTGGCTCATTGGCTTAGCGAAACGACTTTCATCCAGTGGGTAAAGGGTTTAAACTCCGCTCCATCTACCGAGGTTTGGGCATCCATGTAGTATCACCACTAGCCCCCACATAATTGGTGTGGCTCATCACCTTGTGCACTAACGTGCACAACCGAAACTCCATAACGTATGGGACCTTTCACCAAGTTACTTCCAACAGAAGGTGGATGCAAGTATCACTTATCTATGAGTATAACCTGTAGCTTACAGATATGTAGAAAGACGGTTATTACTCTTTCTGTTAAATAAAAGCCTACGTCGAACATAGTCTCAGAGATAGGGAAATGCATTCATACTTACTCAATAGCTTCATTAAAAATTTTGCTAGCTGCTACTTCATCCTGTATATACAATTTAATCAGTATGAGAACTGTCACTGCACGACCACATAGTTTTGGTGCAGTATTTGAATCAGCGAAACCACCTACAGTTGCACCAACACAATCTGAATGACCTCTTGTTACATAATCGATATACAATCGAAGTAGTCTTTCGGCATCGTTAAAACGTCTTAGTCGAACCCATAAACGAGCAGCATTGTTTGCTTGTGACGCAGCCTCATGAAATTTCTCCTCGATCTGTAAAGTACAAAAAGTATTGACAGATGAGTAAATTATTAAAGGGTCCTAAAGGCTGATGCTACACTATGGTATCATAGAATATAGATGAAGTAATTTAATGGAAACTTACAGATATCTGCGTTATATGCAGAAACTAACCTCACAAGCATCTGCAGATCTTTCATAAAATTCAGCAGCACGTTCAGGTAGTGGTTCTTCAAGACATCTACAAAACAACATACTAAAGGAGAAAGATGACTTACTTTGCAGCGCGCTCATAAACATAAGATGCTGAATCAGGAGTACCATTTTGACGTAACATCAATCCTGCTTCAGCAATTAATGATGCCATTTGGGAAAAGTCCTTTAAATCCCGATACATTTGAGATGCTGCTTCATACTGTTTTGCGCAGTGAAAGTAAGATCCATTTTTAAAGTGTAGTTCAGCGACCTATGGATTTATCTTTTCTAACAATCGAATATACCTTTTTATATGTCTCAGCAGCTTCTTTCAATTGTTTACTATTTCTGAAAATTAATGCAGCTTTCCCATAGTATTCAATGGCACCATCATAATCAGGTTTTCTCTTCAGTAATGATACTTTGAGGCTAGATTATATCATCAAAAGATATGCATAAATTATACCATTTTTCTGCTTTTGCTATAAGATCTGTCACATCGCTTGAATCAGATGGCATTATTATAGGTCGTCTAGAGAGGAAATCAATGTTATACGTAAATTTAAGAACAGATAGAAATAAATAATGGATACAACTTAGCAACCACTTAGGTGACAGTTACATTCGGTACGTGAATACAAACCGTAACATCTAGTTACTTCAAGCAAAGTACTAGTAGTTGCTTCAGACTGATAATCTTTTGTCTAAGGAAAGCGTTCAGGACAATCCATTGCAACTATTTAAAGCCAGTGTTTAATCTGTAGCTGCGATAACTAGATCCCAACCAAGTGACGAGCGAAACTCCGAGTCCAGGAGGAAAATAACGCGATTTATTTCAAGTAGTACAGTAAATATAGTCATAAACAAAATAATAACCAATTTTGGTGCTTTCGTGGGTTACTTATAAGGAAGGTTCAACGATGGCTACTTATTGCCAGGCAATCTACAAGTAATGTGCAGTCTGAATCATACTGCAAACAAGCGGATTATCCAACTGACCAAGAAACGCTAATACACAAACCAATCGAAGCGACAAATGTAACCAATCTGAATGAAGGTCACAAACAAGATAGGGTGGGAGGTGTAAAATTGGCTAACAGCAAGTACAGGAAAAATTCCACAACAGTAGTTGTCTATGTGCAGGTAGTAGGGATCTAATAGACAAGTTGGTGGGACTAGAGGTTGACAAAAACAAACTAGACAGCTATGAAATATTCGGCATCACTTCTCAAAACGGCATAACCTACCTGACTCAAGAAATCCATCTTGCATTCAAGAATTAAAAACCAATGGATAAGGAAAAATTAACTCTTGCCATAGTCAGGGAGCTAGTTCAGTTGGGTGTGACCTATTAAACTCAATTACAACCTTATTAAGAAAAATCGTTACTTCAAGCTACACCATCCATCAGGCGTATGTCGAACCCACATAACCTTCTAACTAGTGTCGGGCCAGCAGTTGACGCCTTGACGTAGCAGTCACTTAACAAGCCATGCTGTCTGAGATGATTGTTTCTTGAGGTACCAGAGAGGTTAGTCGGGTCGTGGTGAGTGGAAAAAAAGTAGTTACTGTCAGTGTTAACAGTTTAGACTCTGGTGGGGTTCCGAGGACGAAGTAATATTTCCGAGTGTACAGGCATGATAGGACTAAGGTGTTCCTCCCAAAAGACTAGCAGTTCATGCTGATGCTATCTTTTCTATCAGGCAAAGTTAGGCAACGTCGGTCTTAAGAACATCATACTCCATCGTATCCTGTAGCCTTTCAGATACCTTGTATAAACAACTCCCACTGGCCCAAGAGTACCAACTGGCAGCACACTTCCAGAAATATACAATACCCAATCAATCATAACCTATCCTACTTACCTTTGTCATATTGTTTCCCTTCACTTCCGGGTACAATCCCTTTAACATGCAACCCTGTGATTACTACTACCGATTTGAGCAAAGAAAATATTCTTAATTTCCTAAAAATAGACTGCCGATTTCACACTGGAACTTCCAACGTCCGAACCCAATGCCAAATCGGACAACAAGCATCGCCAGCAAGAACTCTGGGATCTTGAACTATGCATGCATGCGACATTCCTGAAATACGTATACAAGAATTGAGTGTGGTTATTCACTTCACATAAATTGGTCAATGTGGTGAGTCTTCAAAATTCGCTTTACGCGTGTCTGGAGATTCAATGGCTCTCGTGGACGTTCTGATGTAGGCATATAATTAAGTCACGGAGAAGAAAGTGCGCTTCTCGACTGGATACCAATCGATGGCTGTCCATGTGATATTCAACAAAATGCATCTGTGAGCACTTGCTGAAACCTACTGGTAATATCTGCCTACGCGCCTATAAACTGCAGTTTGGGTGATACAGAAAATGAATTTTACCCAACGCTGTCAACTTTTTTCCTACATAAAGCAAAATGGTCAAATACAATCATACAAACAGGCGATCTCAACTCCTGAACCAGATGAAAAGGCATTCTGGAGGTATGTGGGGAATCTCATTCCAATGAACCGACAACAGCAATAATCTCATGAAATTTTGCTCTGACAATCACTCATTTATGGCAAACACTAAATTCAAGCGTAAGGAGAGCTACTGTTTTGGGTGTGGTCCGCCGATATCTAGCTAACAACGGAAGCAGACAGATCACGCTGCCATAAACTACCGTTGCAGGATTGGTGCTTTTTCTAAAGTACCTGTTTGTACTCTGATCACGCGTTAATATGACGACATACATATTCGCACTTTTATGGACGCAGAAAACAAACAGTAGTGAAGCATGTGTTTTCGACTGGACGATGAGTATATCAAGTTTGTATTTAAGGCAGTTTTTATCTTCTCCTTTTTCTCTTTCTTCTGTCTATATATTCATTATAACACTGTGATCTTTAGAAAAATCTTTTCGCAATTTATGTTATGCTTATGACTATCTTCTCGCTAAATGACTGATTATCACACCAGTACTAAATGTTTGGTCCCAACGTCATAGGAACCCTCCCAGTATTTAAATGCTTTATCTTAACCTCACACTTCAATTTTCTCACTGTCCTCTAATGGATAGTGGGTTTAGAATTATCAAGTATGTGAATATTTTCTTGTTTTAGTAATTAGCTGTTAACAATCTGCAAGCAGTTCAAGAGAGAGCACTGAAATCCAATGAATATTACGAAATTTGTTCTGATTACGTATGCTTTCTATGATACACTAGAATCAATTGATCAAATTGACATGAAACGAATGCGTGTAGGTGAACGTTTTATGCTTGCAGAATCAATATTAACAAGTGGTGTTTTACATCTAGGCTTGGTTATATGCAGAAAAGTATGCTGTTATTTATTACACCAATCTTTCTTACACCATGCTGCTACCCAGCAATCGCTGACTGTCGACGTCTCATGGATTTGAAACACCTATACAAGTATATGAGCAACTTTAACTAAGCTTCGTAGTCCGCTGAAGAAATTACAGATGTCCTGGTATGCGTTCATAACCTCCGCTAGGGAATTCCCGTGCACATCCTTTACGGGGCGGGGGTGTTTCCAAAAAAGTGAAAGGGTGAAAGCGAATGTCCGGCGCTTATCACGAGTTTGGTGGATACCAAGGGTCCACCTAAGGGGTTGGAAAGCTGTGATTTCAGACCAATGTTGCGCACGGACCCCACGTCCGAGATGCAACGAACGGCGTAAGAACCTATAATGGTCATCACCAACCATGAGAATGTGGTTTCTGATGTTGTACCCCTGCCTTGTGGATTAGACCTTAAGTCAGTACCGAGAAGTGGTCTCCTAAGACAACCACTTTCTACAGTCTGGGTGGCCGGGCACTGTCTCAGTCCTCACAAAAAATATGAAGTTACAGCATACAATGAAGATTTCGAAGCCTTTACGCGACTTTCTTGCAAATATTCAAGCCTTTTGCGTTACTAACACAATAACCAATCTTTTAATTTATTGCTGTTACACTGTCCTTGTTTTCTTTTTACATATGAACTATTTTTTTTTTAAATTATCATTTTCCCTTTTGTCTTTATCTTCACTTCACCCAGCTGCCCTCCACTGTTTAGACTTTTGGTCTTTCTGTACCGTTTTGAGTTGCCAAAAAGTTGCCCCTATAATGCTGTCCTCCAATGGGACATCCTGAAACCACACACACCGTTTAAGCTCGCCACCTTCAACGTTCGCAGATGCAGATCGGACAACAGGCAGGTTTGGTTAGGGCTCCGGAAAGCTTCGCTACCGATATGTGCTGCACTTCAGTGGCCCGTATATAAGATCCCAGTGAAGTTCCTCATCTATCAGTTCGAAAAGTATGTTTTATGTGCACTAGCCCGCGGACTCTGTGGCATCGGTAACCGGCCTCACTGGTTTCAGTGTCGCTTTAAGCGCTCGAGTCGAAGCTGCACTACTCGACCGGATCCCCATCAACAGTCGTGGTTATGCTAGAAGGTTCACCTTGAGTAAGAAGTATATGACAAGAGGAACGTCTGGCATCTCTGCCTATGTTCCGACGGATTGCGACCTGGATGCAATCAAGGACGAATTCCATTATCAAATGAGTGACTTTCTCAACCAAGTGTGCTCGACAGATATTGTAGTGCTAGCTGGGGACTTGAATGCGCAGTTCAGGCGTCTAGGCTCAGAGGAGAGTCGTTGAGGTGACCAATGGAGACTACTTGGTCGAAGGTTGGATAATGGGGATCGTCTTCTGCAGCTTTGAGCAGATCAAAACCTATTTTTAGCTAGCACTAACTTCCGGCACACTCATCACCATTGTGCTACTTGGCGTCCTCCCTCTGCCACTCAAGCCCGGACTCAAACAGATTATATTGCATTCAGCTGCCGGTGGTGTGGGTGCCCACAAGATTCCCACTGCATATGGAATACTTGTCTGAACTCTCATCACGCTTTAGTGTGTGCTAAGCTCATTTTGCGTTTTGTTGGTCATCAAAACCAGCGTCCTAAACAAGTCCACGAAAGCAACTAAATACCAATCCAAGCTAGATTTAAGGCTAGTTACCGATCCCAGGGGAAGCGTAGACGAGCACTGGCTACACCTGCAAGACGTCATGAAAATAGCGAGTAAAGCCGCTTGCGGCTTAGAAGAATGTCAGGCTAGTAAACACTGGATCTCTGTGAGCGTCCTGCAACTTCTTGACTTCCGGCGGACCGCCACAGTGGGTAGCCAGTACAATGGTTAGCGTTAGTCTCTTACGCGAAACATTATGAAGACCACGTGGGTTGATGGTCACAACGCGCGAGTGAGATGGAAGCAGCAGCTGCATCGGCCAATAGTCGGAAGCTGTTTCACCTCATACAAGCCACAGACAGCAAGAAGCTTAATATCAGTGAGACGGTCTGTGAGGTAGATGGTACGCCGATGAACAATTTCCAAGAACGCCTAGAACGCTGAGTGGAGCACTTTAAAAAGCAGTTTAGCAGGCTCACTGCTTCAGCATCTTCAGTTTCAGTGCTTCACCTAACGAAGTGGAGGTTTATAAGGAACTCCAAGTTCTGAAAGGCCACAAGGCACCCGGCTCAGACAACCTATTTCAGCTCTTTTTATGGATGGAGAAATGACTAGTCATGGAACTGACTAGATAGTTCGAGAAGGTATTGGAGACGGAAAGCGTCTCATCACTGGAATGAGGCCATCATTGTGCTCACTTTAAAAAAAGGGCATTAGTCTGTTACCAGTAGCGTCGAAAAAATTAGCTGCTATCATACTTCGCAGACTTTGCAAAACACGTGAGGAAATGATTCGGGATGAGCAGACCGGGTTTTGCTTAAGTCCTGGGTACACTGACCATGTGCTGACCCTCTTCTAGATGCATGAACATCGCCACACGTATTGCAGGCCAACAATTGTTGTGTTTCTTGACATTAGGGCTACCTTCGATTTGTTGGACGGAGCAGAACTCTGGAATCGCCTGTTGGAGAGGGGCGTGTCTGAGAAATGACTAAACATCTTGAAACCCCTATATAATAACACTTCAGGTAGAGTGAGGGCATACAGCCACCTGTCTCCACTGTTCTAAACCAGTAGTGGAATTAGGCAGGGTTGCCTGATTTCTCCATTTTTCCTTGACTTTGTTATCGATAACATTCTTGAGACAGCTCTGAAGAAGGTGCGTGATGGTAGTGTAGACCTACTATCCGGATAACGGCTATTCGACCTTGAAATGCGGACGATATCGTTTTACTGTGCGATAACACACAGGTCACTTAAATCGCATTTAATCAATTGGCGATTAGTATCCGTAAGTATGGTATGTGCTTTTCACCATCAAAGCGCAAAGTGCTTTTGCAAGATTGGCATGAGCTTGCGTCTGCGCATACCCTTGGTGGTGAGCCTTTAGAGGTAGCCGAAAAGTTCGTGTATTTGAGAAGTTGTGAGTGCTGGTGGTGTGTGATGAAATTTCTAACTACATACATTTCTAACTACATATCAGTATACGTCAATCCGGGTCACCATCGGAGCCATCACGATGTTAGTATAACAATAAAGTCGGGTATACAACGCTTCGCCGTAAGTAGTTCTACTTTACGCCCGTGATGCCTGACCTCTTCGAGCTGAGGATGTGCGACGACAATGTTCAATCATTGTTATCTGCGTAGGACTGCTTCTATCCAGTGGCAACACCATGTAAGTAATTCTGAGGTACGACGGCGTGGGTATGGTGGGGATTGTCATTTAAAAAGTCAAGCCATCTGGGAACACCAACTTCGGTGGCTTGGAGATGTGTTACCCATGTCGTCCCAACAGCTTCCATACCATTCATTGTTTGCTAGCCTTGGACTGGATGGAAGAAGTAGACGGGTGGTCACTGTGTGACGGCGCTACAAGATGAAGGATAGTTATATCGGGTTAGCATCTGTTGGTGCAACATGACTCTCTGGGTAGGGTCCGAGAGACTACTGATATGAGTTGTGGCAACTTGGACCGTTACGCAGTAATGCCTGGTCCTATGTTGATGTGGATGGATGGTCCGAGAGATAACGCAAATCAGTCGCTTGAGAAGTTATCAGATATGGCTCAGAATCGAAACCAGTGGCAATCACGCTGTAGCTTTATTCCATCTTCTACTGCTGAAAATTAATGTTTTGTTTTGAACGTATCTAAAGGAACTGCCTTCCTAATGGCTCTATTCTTATTGTATTTTTCTTTCATCCACTTCCCTTCGCCTTATGTCTTCATAATATTACTACATTATTTTGTGTGGCGCATTTCTGGCACCCTTGGTGTGCGAATTTTATGTTCCGATAATAACAAATTTCATTACACATCTAAATCATGACTTACCTGACAAACATAACAAGTGTAATCACTTAGCACTCGTCGTATGAACCCATTTTTGCACCACGGGATAATGACTGTTTCTGTCTGGATAGACGTTTTTTGAGCCCCGGCAATAATTTTGTGGAGCTGTAGCTTATTGATCTAGGGAGACGACTTTCAACTAATGGGTCGCGGGTTCGAGGACCACTCCACCTACTGAGGTTTTGGCGGTCAGGTGGTATTACTAGCCATCACAAAATAGGTGTTACTCATTGCCTACTGCAAGAATGTGCACAAGGTTGCTGAGTGCACTTCGATTAAATTCTTGTCGATAGCCGTAGTTTACAACTGATAGACATTCCTAAAGAAAGAAAAAGGACTCATCTAAAAAGTCTTTAAGCTGTTATTCATCGTAGACTGACATCAGTTGGAGGAACAAAAGAAACCTGGGAGCACTGGACAGCTGTTTCGTCCTAGTATGGGACTCCTCAGCAGTGCGCACCCACGACCCCACCAGCGGGGATCGAACCCGCGACCTCTAAGCCGTTGCTTCGCCCATGCAATGTTATATCTTCTCATTTCATTTGTATGTGAGAAGTAATTCACTGAACGACTCTTTTCATCGCTGTTGGATAACCTATAGTGGATTCTTAAACCATTTCCACTACGGCTATTTTGTTGCTGACAGACTACCTCGTCACTTTTCATTACCCAACAATATCACTGTCTTTTACGCTTTTACCACGAATTAAGTGATCCACGGAATTCTCTACGATATCCTCTGAGCCGCCAAACATATTTTAATGGTCACTGTTCCTTTGAAACCTACCTTTCACGAGAATAACAAATAATATTCAGAAGTCTTCACCAGGGATGGTCGCTATCACTGTTCGCCTTTAGGTTTTTTTGCAGATGTTTAGTGAACATAACCAAAGACACCTTCGAATTCAAAAACGATCTACCGCCTGATGGTCATCTGGTTGATTTGGAATATGCTGACGATATTGTCCTGCTAGGTGAAGACGTTGGCAAGATGCAGGGTCTTTCGAATTCAGTGAGCAGAAATATGAATGTTTGGTTGACATACGTTTTGCACCTTACAAATGTAAAATGATGCTCTAGGACTGGCCTACTGCAAATACTCCCAGTGTCGGCTGCTTCACTTGCTTGTGAAGATGCATCAGCCCAAACGGGTTGGTTGCTGACGAAACCCCAGCTCAGATAGATCTATTTGGAACTAACCAACTTGCGTTATCTGTGGTGCCGACTGGCGAGATACCTAACCATTTATCAAAGGACGAATATACTACGCTGCAACCCGTTTTGTCCTGTTGTACGGCTGTTAGACACGGCCACTGGGAGTAGAAGACATGAAGAACTTACAGGGTTCTGATTACAGGTTTTTCTGTATCATTTCTAGCGTTTGTGGAATCACCGTGTGAGCAATGTTGAGGTCAGGCGAATAGTACTAGGCAAGACAGGAAAGTCGACTGATGAAGTTATGAGCCTTAGACGACTAAGATGGTTCGGACCTGTACTTTTCACGCCAAGCCACCGCCTGCCTTGATGTGATATGCTGGAGGCAGTTAAATTAGATTGGAAGAGTTCACGGTAGCCGGATCAAGACGTGGTACCAGTCAACGAAGTGTTTTACTGTTGGTCTTAGCCCTGTGAGGTGTAGACTACTTAGTTGGGACCGTCGATAAACAGGAATAATCGGTTGGAAACTCTTAGTGACATGGCTGAAATTCTGTCACAATGGTGCAGATGTATTCGCGCTTTGACTACTTTCAAGGCTTGAAAATTTTCACTTCCCTTCATTTTTAAAATATTTCTCTGCTCAGATGTAGTGAAAATATGGCCGAACGTCGGGCAAGTGGACCCAGATGTAGGGAAATCATCGAAAGTGCTAGGCCACCTGTAGAAGCTGAGGGCTAGATGCAAGGCCTATAAATATCTGGTGAAGAGAAGGGGAAATAATGCAAAGCACTGTCTCAGGCCTTACAGTTAGCCCAAATTTCTCCAGTCAGTGGTTCAGCATTAGGAAGCTGCCGTATTTGGCTCGACAAAAATGTTGACTCATGTATAAGTCACCATTATCGCGTAATATTCTATATATAAGCTTTAAAGCTTATTTCGATCATAAGAAGAGTCTTCAAAAGGATTATTCGAGAAAACAGACACAGAAAATGGACTGGATAACAGAAAGATAACTGTACAAAGTCACATAGTTCTATACTAGTCCTAATTCTATAGACTAATCTACAGAATTGAGTTCAATTTTAGGCTAAACAAAGTCTTCAATATTTGTTATCTCAAAACTTCAATATTCTTAATATTCGGCTCAGCCATTAAACAACTTATATATATACATTTTTTTAATGCAAGAAGTTCGCATATGTCTTGCTATCTTAACAAACACCAATGTATAGTAAAACCCACCACCTTCCAAATACTGTGACGCTATGAATTGTTTTCCCACACACCAATATCCAATATCTTTTAACGAACTGGTGCAGATGGGTTCCTAAAATGTCGTGCTAACAGACAGTTGGTCGGACTGGTTGTTAAAAGGAGATGAAAGATATGTACAGGGAAATCAAGGGAGAGAAAGTGCAGAGAGAGTGCGGCGCGCTCCTTGAGTAGTGACGTGTTTCGCTCGTCTCTCAGCTTTTGGATTTTTCCACAATGAAAAACTCCCCATTTCAATACTCAATCTAAAAACATAGAACGTTTGCAGCACTTCTGTCCGTCCACGCACCTCACCCCTGCGCATTCGTCAGCTCACTCCTCAACAGTTGAAAATTGGCATTATTATTCCTTTGAACCAACCGGTCTACCTCCTGTCAGTGGTTCTTGGGCGTTTCAGCTGCCAAACTGCCTTAGCTCTCGGTTCTCCTCGGAGGTCATTCCCCAGGAAATATCTTCCTGGTTATACATACGCATCTGGAGCTTACGGTTAAACTCGTTGGTCAAGAGCAGAGGATCAAGTGACAAGTGTCTGAAGGTGAGCCAACATAAATTATCTTCCCTTTTCTATTCTGTCCTTTTCCTGCATTCAGTCTTCAACCCTCTTATTGTTGTTAACTACTTGTTTTCCCAAGAAGTTTATATCATAGCGACATGTCTGCCCAAAACGCTAGGTCTGAAGCTTTGACACGGATAACGCGGTCGTGCACAACAACGGCCAGTAACACCCTAAACAACACACTAGTCTGTACTAGAAGACAAACAGAGGTAGGGCAGAACATCGAACTTCTGAAGAAGTGGCCAACCCATGTTTCTAGAATTCCAGTAGCCATCAGACAGGTGACACAGAGTAGCACTAGCCCGTCACAAACTAGTCCTATCTTGAGCAAGGATCATACCATGCCTGAACATAGAAGACGACGTAAAAGGCTTCAGAACAAGGCAGCCACAAGCAGTTCGCCACAATCCGTAGCACCTTATTCATGGAAGGAAGGCTGTATTACGACACCCGATGGCTGCAGTGTTTGCACCAAAGTTGTTTCGGTAGTCGATGAGGCATTTGCATGCAACCTGTGTCAACGATGGGTGCATTGCCACTGCGATACCAAAGTCCCCCGACAATACTATAAGCTGATGAAGAGACAACCATGCAAGTGGTTCTGGTACATCTGTCCAGAGTGCAGGAAAATGCCCGCACTCCGCACAGAAAGCCTGAAGGAGATGCTCTCCGCCACGCAAAAGCTACCAGCATCCCCGAATAAGGTAGGGTTAACACCAAAGGATAACACAGAGAGACCTGGAAACAGACCTAGAGCTCCAGCTGTGGGCACGCCATCTCGCGTGGGGACCATATTAGGTCAAGTCTCCATACCCCCACCCGGCCCCAGGGGACGTCAAGCGCATGGCCAAAGACATCGACCGCCGAAGCCTCTACGAAACCCATTCCGAACACCCCACACACCGTGACTGAGAAACAACCAGTGGAATTACTCAAACCCATTGGTAAGTCGGGCGTGCCACCCACAACGAACCCAGGTCACAGGAGGACCAACTCGATCATTTTGTTCAACGTCGATGTATCGACAGACTCATTGTTGGTCGAGAGGGAACAATTTGACAGCCGAATGTGGACCGACTACTGTCAGATGCTGGGACTCCCTCCCCTCCCTGCAACTTTGTGTCGCCTTTCTCGAGGAAGCCATGCACCCCGAGATAAGCCCCCCCTTTACGTGTGTCCCTAAATACCGCCAAAGAGGCTGAAGACACACTCCTCCTCTCACGACAACCGGACGTTGTTAATGCCTGTAAAATTCGGGCCAGGCCTGACAAGCCATGGTCAGTAAGAGAGGAGGAGAGAAAGTCAGCGGTTGGAAATCCCAACAGAAACAACACTATAGTTGTACATGGGATTCCAGAATTGCCAAGTGACAGCTCGGTCAAAGATCGGTACTTTCACGACGTCCAACAATGGCAATGGCTCTCAACCAAAGTTGGTCTCAACAGTATACCGGCCAACAGCGTCAGTAGACTGCCAAGGCCAGCGCACCTGAAGACCATACCCAATCCCAGACTACTTGCCGTCCAGTTCGACTCATATGCCTCCCTCACAGACGTTCTGCACGCATGGTATAATGCGAAAGATCGCATGGGTGGCTCAATACGTATATGTGAAAGTAAGCCTAGACCCACAAGGCAAGAGGAGAGACGGCAACCACCAAGACCTCTGGAGTCAGTGGTCGTCACACAGGCGCTGACCAGTGAGTTAGATACATCAAGTAAAGAAGCCACCACTGCTACAGCCCCCACCCAAGTTAAGAACAAAACACAAAAAAACGGAACAATGCCAGTCCTATGAGGACTGGCGAGGCTAAATACAACCACGTAAGCGCTCATCCCGCGAAAATACACATCCAGACCTCCCCCTCATCAGGTACACTCTAATATGTATGTACAGCAACGTTAGGGGGCTAATAGGGAAGGTAGCAAAAATGAGGACGCTGCGTGAACATCAGCACTCCGACATCATATTCATCACCGAATCCTGGCTCTCATCGGACATCTCCGACGAAGAGATGCGTGTTGCTGGCATGGAACTCTTCCGCAGGGACAGGGAACATAGAGCAGGAGGGGGAGTGGCTATCTACGCAAACTCCTGTTTAAAGGCAAGGATGGTTAGCGATACGGCCTTAACCCAGCTCCCAGAGTCTCTATGGTGCTACTTCACTCTCTTCTTTATTCTCTCTTCATTCCTTTACCACTACCTTACTATTCTCTTCCAGGTACCTACACAGACAGGAGTCATGGCAGTTCTCTAAACTTCCCAGCAACCCGTAGCTCCCTAATCACTCTACAAATTACAACCTACTAACCCACAAAACATCCACCTCACCGAAGCTAAAAGCAAGAAAGCAGAGGGGATTTCCTCGTCCACTGCAGGAGTAAACCGAACAACTGGAACCAAGCCCTAAGAACTAGACGCGAGAGATCAAAAACTACTAGTTTTCTACGCTCGCACTATCAATATTGGATATTGGATATTGGAAGAATAATATGTGCTAAAAAAAGTTCAGGAAAAAGGAAACGGTACGGAAGAAGAAACGTCGGTAGGTTACCAGTTACTCTAACATGCAGTGCTCACTAACCTCTAACTTCGTGATGTAGAAATAGTGGAAAGTGGTTTATTTAATTGCAAATCCGTTTTAATAGTATACTTTTGATGTTTCGGATGTGGCGGTGCAATGACATTGCAAACCTCTAAGTGAGGTCCAATACCAATATTTCAATATTGATAGCGCAAGCGTAGACAGTTTTTGATCTCTCACGTCTAGTCCTTACGACTTGGTTCCAGTTGTCCGGTCCGCGCCTGCTTTCTTTCCTTTTGGACGTGAATAGGTCTGGGAAAGCTTGGGGAGTTCCGCAGCGACGGCGCTTAGTTGTCCACCTACGATGCATAGTACTGTGCAGGCTTTGCTGGTGTCTCCTGGATAGTTTGGTCTGCTTTTCAGTTTGTCGTTCAGTATTGCCCACAGGTCCTTCACTATGATTGCGTGAGAAAAGTGTGTGACACAAACAGAGCAGGGTAGTTTCTGGAAATCAGTAGCGCGGAAAAACATGGTCCGGCACTAAGCTAGGTTAAGTACCTGTCCCTTACTTTCATCCCACACCCTGAGGAATCTGAGATCCCATTGTATCACGCTGGAATCCCTTAGGAGTATCACAGTTCGCTAAAGAATCAAAAGCCTCGCCTGGTTAACTTATTCACTAGTTACTAGTCTGCCCTAAGCCCGGATAAACAGATAAGGTTAAGCATAGAGGTAGCAACCCTACCCCGTAAAACCAATCTAACCACTAAAGAAACTTCAAAGCACAAACAATATATAAAAAATAAAAACAAACTTATCCCTCGCTGGAATCGGACAGACGAAATGACGCCGGTTGGTGAAAGCCTTCGAGAAGTCAATTGGCCGATGTGTCTTCTCTCTCTCGACGAAAGCAAAACTGAGAGTGGAGGCATGGAATGTCCGCACCATGTATGAACCTAGCAATGCTGCCCAGATTGCAAAGAGATGAGACGCTACGGCATAGGAGTGTTACGAATCAGTGAAAGCAGATGGGATGGAAGTGGACTCTCCAAACTGTCAACTGTAGAGGAGTCAACAATCTACTCTGATATTGTCACCCAGACGACAACCATAAGCACACTGAGTTTTGGAGTGGCTATCATGATGCCCCCAACAGCATGGAAGGCTTTCATGCAGTAGGAACCAATCTCCTCCAGGATCGGGACCATGACAGCAAGATTAAGCTTGTAGCGTCACACACTTCCCCAGAATCAATACCCTAGGGTTTGACGAGATTCAACATTAATGCTGACCCTGATAGTTTAACTGGACTCGCTAAGTTGAAGGCAGACGGTCAAGCATTCTCGCTGTTTGCGGTGGGTTCGTAACTTGCGTTACATTTGCACGTGATCTGTTAAATTATAACTTTAACGTTACCAATCGTTTGATTTGGTACTTTTGGACACCAAAAGTACCTAACTGCCAAACAGACCACTTATCATCTGTGATATCGAACCATCGGCTTCCTGAGGATCAGTCATTAAGTACCGTTCCCACCATTCACTCGTCTGTGTAACAAACTAATCGACTGCGATCCTTTTGGCAGTTACAATGTCGGAGAAACACTTCCCTGGCGAGATGCCTAGCCCAGAGAACCCAAACACTAACATATTAATGGGACGCGGTAGGACAAAAAGATCTCGAACAGACAGCTTGGATAAGAAAAATGAATGCTCGGCAGATCTACTCGAGACACAACCTCAAAACTCTCCGAGTAGGTCGCAAACTCCTTTTGTAGGCATAACTGACTTTGTCACGGACGTCAGCAACTTAGCAACTTTCAGCGCTGTCAAAATTACTGAGCTTAATGCGGTGCTAACTGAAGTCCGCACTGCACTTGAGCAGCTGGCATCCACTACTTATCTTTTTGGTCTGCACAATGACATAGA